GGGGGGGGGGAAGTAGGGGTGATGGCTAAAGATGAATACTAAGGCTGCCTGGCCTAGGAAGATCATCTCCCTTTGGTCCAGCTTGTTTAAAGCAGAAGAACAGAACTGATTTCAGGTGACAGCAAACTTCCAATCTGTACTAAGTGATATTGCAAGTGAGGTATCTGCTCCTTAGCAAGTAGAGAAAGAGTAGGGTTTAGTGTTTTAGACTTAAGTGTGGCTTAATTAAGGGTTAACATGACTCTGCTGGAGACTGGACTACGAAAATAGGAAACAAAGGAAAGACATTCCTATAGTGAACCTCAATTTTTAGCCAGAGAAAGTTCTCAAGTCTGGAAGAACCACTAAAAATTGTCCAGTGACTGATGTCCTGTACAGTAAAAAGAATTTAAAATTTTGACTTCTTGTTCATCTAGACCAGGGGTTGGCAAATTATGGCCCACAGGTCAAATCAGGCTCATCAGCTAAGAACAGTTTTTACATTTTTAAATAGCTGAAAAATATCAAAAGAAAAAATTTTGTAATGTGAAAATGATATGAAATTCAAATTTTAGTGTCCATAAAGTTTCATTGGCTCATAGATACATTTGCATTACAATGGCAGAGTTGAATTAGTAAAAAGTTGTATGGCCAGTAAAACCTAAAATATTTGCTACCTGGCCCTTTATAGGAAATGTATGTTGACCCCTGCTCCAACAAGCAAGAGCTTTTTGCAATGTTGGAAATTTGCACTAATTCAAAAGTGACTGGCCATTGTGGCTATCTGAGCATTTGAAATATGGTTAATGTGACTGAAGAACTGAATTCTTAAACAGCCATATGTGGCTAGTGGCTACCACATTAGACAATACAGCTCTAGACTCTTCTCAAACCTTCTGTACTGACATTTTTTTGTCCCTTGTCCCAACATCTCACTCCCCTCCTATGACACACCTCTCTGTGGATACTTAGTCTGCTTCCTGGCTCCCCTTCCCTGGCCCTATTTAACTGACTCCAAGGTAGGGTACAACATTTACTAGGTTTTCTTTCTAGACTCTCCATTGTCACGACTGAAATCTAAAATTTGATCCATTTACCAAGTTTCACCCCATGAATTAATCCACATTACGTGCACACACATAAATGGACAGACATTTACACAAGTTTCTTTGTGTCAAAGGATGGCACTGTGGCTATGTTCTTTCTTCTCTGCATGAGAGAAGTAGAAAACCCCTCCAAATGCTGGATCCCTTGTTGATGCTGGAGCCTGTGATATGGATCACCTCCCTCCAAACACATTCCACAGAAGCTGAGAACAGCAGATGTGTACTTGCTATTTGAATCTCAAGGAGAAAACATCCTTCATCACAGGACTTTCTTTCCTACCCTCAGGCCTAATAAACTGAAGTTAGCTGATTTCTCTATTTTAATAGATGCCTGCTTTTTTTACTGGCCTTTTCTAGCTGGGCAAAAGAACAACTCCCATACTGTCTCAATCTTGGCTAGGAGCTCTAGAAAAAGCATTAAAAAAATTTTACCAAAATAAATGAAATCCACATAAATATGCGTTAGTAGAGACCAGTACTTAAAATGGAAAGAGATTCAGGTTATAACTCTTAAAAACTGTAACTCTGTAATTATTTGTAAAAGTAATCTTGAAAGTATAAATTTTTCATACCTCCTCCCTAGGAAAAAACGGGTGTCTGTAAACTTCCAGCTTAAAAAGAAAAGAGGAGACACATAGTTCTCTCTCTCCAGATTGCTATAGCAAAAAATAAAATATAACATAAAATAATAAAATAAAGTAAAATAAAAATCCCTCACTCCATTTCAAACATCTGACTGCAAGACCAAAGCCTCCTAAATTCTGACAAAGAAAGTCTCCAGTTTTATATATGTCCTACACTCAGCTTATGTAATTGAGATTGGGTCCTGTCTGGAAAAACAAAAATAAAAACACTGAATCCTTTAGGTACTATAAAAATTGCAAATTGCGAGCCACTGAACCCAACCATCCAAAAGGGGGTGCAGAAGAAAACAAGCTCTGAAACGTGAAACTTCCCTCAGGCCATGCTGTCCTAAAGTTGCAGGGTCAGTGCAAAGTGTTGTAAAGCACTGAGAAGCTGGCTATTCCTGGGTGAGTTTGTACTCAGGCTGCTAAGAATTTCCACTAAGCTTTAAATTATGCTATTCATCACTGAGCAACTGAGGGCCATCTACCCTCAAGTCTCTACCACACTTCCTCTCTGGTGTCTCTGAAAATAAAAAAGAGACCTTATACCACCACCACGTGAACTAAAGACAAACTTTCACAGTTTAACCATGAATAGAAGTTTCCAAGTTACTCTGCTATTTTCTCATGTGGCTCCAGCTGTATATTTTGGATGCTGAGGTGGGTTCTTATAAATTTGTAAGGTTCTTGTAAACTTTCTTATCATGGCACACAAAATGGTTTCATAACCTGAACTCTTGCAGCTCCTGATGTTTTTCTTTAGGCATGCACACAATCTATCCAGGTGGAAAAATCAATCCAGACTGTTCTGTGCTCAGGCTATCACTCAAATAAAATGGCAAACTTTTCTTCCCCCATCCTTTACCTCCTGCCTTTTGATTTTATTTTGGTATTAAGAAAACCAGACAATTCTAGCTCAGAATTCAAGGTGCTACTGCTTGGTAAACTATTAAGTGTATGGTGAACTCAATGTGAATTCACTAACAGTGCTGGGGTCTGTAGGAGGCCAGAAAGAGACTTTTTTCCCTAAAGAAGTACCATTAGCTATCTTTCCATTTTTTTCTACAGAGGTTCAACAGGAAAAGAAAGAAAATACTGCATGTTTGCATCACCAGAACAAGAATCAGGTGGGTTTTCCCTGGGAATCCATAGTGATCAGGCCCCCTCAAAATCAGTGCCTAGACCTATGCAACAAGCAGGGTTCACGGTTGAGTGAACATCAATGCATAATGAGTGGAGGCATTTCAATGCAAATAAACGCTGAATATGAAGGATTAGAGAAAGGGGAAATTAATCTTTTTCATAACACAGGGCACTTTTTTTCTCTCCCTTGTGCTCTCTTTTTTAAGTCATGCACACAACTTCTGGAGGGAATCCAACTTCCCCAGTGTGGTGGTGCTGCTTTATAAAAAGCAGAACATACACATTTAAGACCATGAATTTCCTGAGGATGCCAGCAACTGAGATTCTGACAGCTCTTCTGAACAGCCTCAGAAGAAAGGCTTCACTAAGTGGGGCCAGACTGACTAGTAAAAATCTCATTTTAAACCAACCTCCTATTTTTCCAAAGCTCATAGCTTCCTGGGGTGTGGATGGTTTAAAGGGTTTGGTTTCAGCATCTGGGGGTATTTGGATGCAATTACTGAAGGGATTTTATTTTTCAGTTTGTTTCTAATTGCCCCATTCAAGTGATGCTTTTGCAATACCAACAAAATAAATAGGGCAGTTTCATGCTGCTTTAGCAGGTGGCTCCATCTCCTCCCAGCCTGATCTTCTTATGCCTAGTGTCTCAAACCAAAGAACAAAGTGGCAGCACCTCTTCAGGTTATCTCTTCAAAAAAATTTTTTTGGAAAATCTGCCAAAGAAGGTTACTCAGCTTTTGAAGACTGTACACTTCCAGAGATGTTGGACTGGAGCAAAAAATTTGCTAAAAAGCTTTTTGTTCCATCACAGGTTTGTATCAAACATAGAATTCCTCAGACATCCAAATTCTCTATCAGGCTATTATTTTGCAAGGGGAAGGCTTTAAAATTCAAGTGGTCCCCCTCAAATCATTAACCTAGGCTAAGAATTTTCCTAACTACAAATCCACGCCTCAGAGAGGAAATTAATTTCCAACTTGCTCTTTTCTTTAATACCATTCTGAAAAAAAATATCAAAGACCTAGAATTTTTAAAATAGGTTTTTATAAATAATGTATTCAAAGATTTTGACCCACTACATAAAGTAATAATCCCACTCTTTAAGAAAAATATACAAGTTTTGGTAAGAATTTAAATTCTGAGAGTCAAGCCTGATGCCAAGCCTTGAGATTTCTACTGCTTCAGTTCCAAAGGGCCAGCGGATAACAATTTTAGTACACAAAAATCCACTATGCTGTACAGTTCCTTTTCTCCTGGGTCAGACAGCTTTATTCTGCTTCATTAACCCCTTCTTTGCGCCTTGATGGATCTTGGAATCCAGTTTCCCTGTAAGGAAGAAAAAGAAGCCTCATTATTTATTTTTTATATTTGCAATGCAAATCTTTCATGGCCTCCCAGGTCTCCTGGTTACTGTGTTCCTGTCACATTCAATTATCTTGCTTCAGAACTCAGACACTTTCAAACTTCAGAGTTGCATTCTGCAAGAATGAGGAAGCAGAGGAATACCATAGAAAGACACAAAAGCATGTACACAAACACAGTGAATATTCGCCTAATGAGTCTAAGTTAATATTTCTAATTTTCTAGTAGAAAAGAAACATCACCTTTTCCAGGGTGTCTAATGCTAAGGCTAGTTTTTAAAGAATATAAACCTATAATAAAGGAAGGCATTTCACACAGTGGGAAACCCATTCCTCTGACCTGTTAACTGGCTGAGCATAATACATGAACCTCCCCTACAATGAGAAAAGCAGTTCAACTCACCCCTTTCCTGCCTCAGACTTAATGGGGGAGTGACCTGAAACAGTGGAGTAGAATCCAATGAATGCTGTACTGACAAAGGGCCCCTATCACCAGCTAAGAAGGGCAAAGGTCATAGGCTGTATGACTCTTCTAAGTGTTAAAGTTAGAAAACAAGCAACCTTCCTGTCCCAGGTGACCCTAATGAGAGGTTCTTCACTGCTGTGGTCTCCAACCTCTGACTCCTCAGATCTACCAGGATAGAGTTTGGTTCAGTGGTAGCAGCCTTATGAGCCATCCATCTCATGGAGAGAATCTTTAAATAGAGTTCCTTCCTGTCTGGCCTGAGCACAGAGCATACAGGTTGCTTTCTCCCTACAAAAAGTCTCATTTAAGTCCATTTCAGTGGAAACAGAAACAATTAAGTCGAACATCAGCCTCAGCACTAAAAGACAAAACAAAAACAAAAAATAAAACAAACAAAAAGATAACAAGAGCAAAACAAAGAACCTCCCTGTACTACAGGCCCATACCCACAACTGTTGCCTCTCATATGCTGCCATTTTCATTTTTTGCAGCAATCAGGTGTAAGAGAGCCCTAGACTAGGAGTCAGGAAACTCAGGTTCTAGTCCACCCTTGTCTGATATTAACTAGCTGTATGACCTGGGGCAAGTCATTGTTTCTCTGGACTCCAAAATCCTCATTTGTCCAATTAAGAATAACATCATGCCCTGGTAGGACAGCACAGTTGGTTAGAGCATCATCCTGATAACTAAGGTTGCAGGTTCGATCCCTAGTCGGGGCACACACAAGAATCAACCAATGAATCATAAATAAGTCGAACAACAAATAGATGTTTTTTTCTCTCTCTCCCTCCCTCTCTCTAAAGTCAATTAAAAAAAACTTATTAAAAAAAAAGAATACATGTCGTGAATAACATACACAGAGACTGTGAGAAACATAGCGACAACCTAACAAGTTTCCCTGTTTTCTAACACCTCCCCCCCCAACCCATCTCTCTAGGGCTATACCTGACTCTGGAATAACATTACTTCTTTTCTGGATTTCCTCAGAAACCATCACTAAATGATACCCTAAATACCATACACAACAGTCACAATGCTGTTGATTTTTATTTGGGCTTTAGAGCACACAGTATTCCCAAGTATTTAGAAGTTCTTTCACCCCCCAGGCTGCCTGGTTGGAAATCCGAACATGTACCAGCAATCTGGCAAAGAGCCCTATTACAAGGCAAGTTTGCCTTTGTATCCCTAACACTATCATAGTGACTGCCAAATGGTAGGTGCTCAATAAATGTTTGCATCAAATGAATTAAACAAAGAAGGTAGACGCTGCAAATTTCAAAACCTTTACATTACAGGGACTACTAAGTAACCAAAAATAGATATCAAATAAACATTAAGAGTACCCATTGTAAAGGTAGTGGTACCCAGAGGTACAAAAAAGTATTGTGTCTCATTCGGCTTTTTAGAACAAGACAGGAAAGAATTTAGAATTCCATCTAGGACTCCAGACTTCTAGTACTCTTTATTGAATAAGTCAGACAAACAAGGTCCCAGTTTTAGTCCTGAGACTACCTAACTGTATAACCTGGAGGAATTCACCTAGTCATTCTTGTCCTCAACTTTTTCAATGCTAAGAAACTGGACTACATAGTACTGAAGGCCCTTTCCAGCCCTATGGTTTGTGTCCTAGAAATGAAATGTAAATTGGAATGATTTGTTTCTGAGGCAGTATGAAAAAAAGCGAAAACCTAGAAAAGAGCAGTAAACCTAGAAGCTGAAAGATGTGAGCAAAACACAACTCCTGTAAAGCTATTTACTTAATTAAAAAATGAAAGGGAAAATTCCTACTAATTTACAAAGTTGTTGAGAGGATTGCAGCCAACATTAAGTGCTTTCTATATACCAAGTGCTGTGCTAAGTACTTTACATACACTAAGTCATTTAATCAAATAACTAATTGAAATCATATATGTTAAAGTGCTTCAAAAGCTCAAAGTTCTCAGAAAAAGTAAGGGTAGTTGTATTATGTTGAGGCTTGGGAGTTGTATTTCTTAGCTATGGTCTCAGTTTTACTATTAATTTACCATATAACTCTAGGCAAGTCTTTTCATTATATTCATTTCAGATTCCTCATATTAAAAAAAGAGACATTACCTTCTTCACACTCTCAAAGTTTTACTGTATAACTTTCCAAGTATAATTTTCAGAAAACTCCAGTCTGATTATGAAAACCCTCAAGTAAGACCAACTCAGGTAAGATCAACCCATTAGAGCAAAGCACTCAGTGGTAGGCAGACTAATCTCTGGCTTCAATGATGATATCATAAAATGGAAAACTAACAGGAGGAAGGAGATATAGAGGAGTAAGGATTTCTAAGGCATTCCCAGGGATTCAGAAATTCTTTCATCCCTTAGGCTGCCTAAAAAACATAAAACTGTACATGTGCCAGCAATCTGTGAGCTCCTTACAAATAAGGACTTCTTTGCATTCCCTAGGGTCTACCACAGTGACAGCCAATAGTGACAATTCTTGGGTCAGCTGTGGGCAAAGAGGGCAAGGGACTGGGCCCTCTTGCATGAAGAAGCAGTCATCCTGGCTGTCCGTGGACTACATGAACTCTGAACTCTGAGTTCTAGTTCAGCCTGGTATTTCAAGATTTGGGATCTGGACAGTTCACTAATGTAACACACAGTACACCCTCTTAAAAGCAGAGTGATAACGCTTAGTTTCTGAATTTCTCCAATACTTTTACATTTCGTACCTGCAGCATTTCAGTGTTAAACCACATCCTCAATCATGGTGCCTAAAAGAAAATCAAATGCATGTGCAACAGATGGGCAAGAAGTTGAAAGGGGAAAATTTTTGCCATCAATCGATATAACTCTCATAGGGATTTTCACATGCTTTGCATAAGATATAAGGCAGTACTTGCATGAGTTTATAGAGATGTAGTTCATTTAAAGTAAAAAGATTCCTTTATCTCTTTGAACATTCAACCGATATATTCTACTTAACTTTTTTTCATTTCCTAATTTGAGCAGACACACAGCCAAATGATACCATACTGCACATTGCTCTTTTCTAAATTATTTCAATTTCAAGAAACACACTTATCCCCAGGTCAAGCAAGCTCAGGTTGACATGTTTAAAAACATAAATCAAAATATACATACCTTTAATTGAAGGTATATATTCATATATTCACATGATACAACATGTAAATGGGTTGTTTAAAAGTTTATTTGCAAGTCAGAAGTTTAGAACTTGGACTATACTTCTCATAGAACTAATCTATAAAAGGTGGCTAGGTTCCTAAGCCACCCCACACACAAATTTATTTATTTATTTTTTTAAACCATAGTTAAAAGGTAATTGGAAGTAGAGTAGTAACTATATTATTAATACTATGGAACTTAACCACTTCAAATAACAATATATCTAGAATAAACTATGAAGCATTCCAAATTGAGAGCCAACTATGTATTTTTCCCCTGTGGCAGTGTGATTAAAGACTTTCCCAGCTGTAAAATACTGGAGGTGGCCCCTATGGCCTAAGGCAAAGAAGTTCTGGCAGAGTGTAAAGTTTTTAGAGATGGTAAAATTGAATGAAAGATAAAGGAATAGGGAGTTACAGAGAATAGAAACTTTATACCAGACTAAATGCTCACTCTGGCTTCCTCTCAATAGAATTTTTTCCCGAGACAATTAGGAATTGGTAAGCCTATTTTTTCCTTTTTTTTTTTTTTTTAAATAAATTTTCACCACCTATGGTTTCTGACCAATGTTTTTTCACCTTGTTTGGTCTACCATGAAAGAAGCTGTAGGCTCATAATTTCTATGTAGCCCTGTTGTCCCTGAAACAAGCATACAGCCCATTTTGGCTTTTTAAAGCTTTTAACTAACAGAAACAATAGGGAAAGACAGGAGGGTATTAAAGTTTGTTCCTTAAAAGCATCACTCCCCCACCCCTATCAAACCTTATGGAAAAAATGAAGGCCATATATGTGCTGAAGGTGGGTCTCTGTCTGGGTAGAGAAAGTAGTGAGGTAAAACATTTCAGAGAAGTATCTAAACTCTGTTTACACAGAACATTTTCTTACAGGAGCTTAAACAGCAGATAAAAAACAAGATAGAGGAGGAAGCTAAGAAAAGGTAACTAGGGTAAAGATCAAGGCAGCAGTGGGTCTGACAGAGGAGACCTACCATTGTCCTCCCACCACCAGTGTTGCTGTCAGTGTCTAGAGTAAGGTGAGAATGGAACAGAGAAGAAGGGGGTAGAATGCCACAAGCAAAAAAAAAAAAAAGGAGAGAAAAAGAGAGATTTAAATCCTATATACTGGAGAAGAAGGAAAAAGAATTTCCAGGGCTACTCGGCTACCCGCCGGGGTATAGTCTGAAGTAAATAATTTGTATAATTTAAGGGCAACTTATGTTCAGATTTTTTGATCTGGAGGAAACTTAGGAACATACATGTCATTTAAATCATAAAGGTGCCTGATTTTTTGTAGTGAATATACATTAATATAAGTTCATACTCAAAGCATTTCATTTTGTGATTGAAAGCAGTATTACTCAAAGTGTGCTCGTTGACCAACAGCATCAGTATCACTTGGGAGAAGGCCTAGGAACATGTCTTAACAGCTCTATAGGTGATTTTTACTTATATTATAGTTTGAGAAGTACTTCTCAACAGAAAAGACTTATAAAATGGCTAGTTGGTCTCCAAGGTACCAGGCGACGCAGAATTGTGCACAGCTAAAGACAATGCCTGCCCCAAAATCATCCAGTTCACACAATGGGAAGGCAATGTCATAGAGGCACAAAATAGTGACTGATATGAGCAAATCGGAGAGTTGTTAATGTTGTTTTTGAAAGAAAGTTAGGCAGGGAGGACACTACCATGTGTTTCTTGAGATTGCTTTGAAATAGAAGAGGCTGCCATAGGACCAGACAGAGGAAGAGAAGATGGAAGCTGAAGAAAAGTTAAGTTAAAAAAGTAGTCAATGAGCACATTCTAAGAAGTGAATATACAGAGGATACTATAATCACAAATACATAAAGGCAAAAGTTACAGAAAAATAAATCATCAAGAGGTTTCAAAAAGAGATGAAAAGCAAGAGGGCTAGGGCAAAGCTCTAGGGACCAGTAATCAAGGGAATAGTGGTGGGGTGGGAGAGTGGGAGGGAGTAGGAAGTGATGCCTCCAAAATAGACAGTCAAGAATAGACACTTTGCCTGGCCAGGCGTGGCTCAGTGGTTGAGCATCAACCTAGGATCCAGGCGATCGCAGTTCAATTCTAGGTCAGGGCATATGCCCGGGTTGCAGGCTCGATCCCCAGTTGGGGGCATGCAGGAGGCTGCAGATCAATGACTCTCTCATCATTGATGTTTCTCTCTCTCTCCCTCCCTCTCTCTGATATCAATAAAGATTTTTTTTTTTTAAAAAAAGTCTTTCTTACAAAAAAAGAAAAAGAAAAAGAATAGACACTTAAAAAGTCTTATTCTTGGATTGAATACTGAGGAACAATGGATAACAATGTTGCCACTGAGCAGTACAGCAGGATAAAGCATACTCCTTTGGCTGACAAATAGGATTTAAATGTACTGGGGTCCTAAATTAAAGTTTAGAGTAATTCACTAGCATGCCAATAATTGTGGACCAATCAAGGTACACTTTGAAAAGGCTATTCTGTAGTCCACCTAACATTAAAGGTATCAATAAATATAATTTTATTAATCCTCCAACACTTCAGAAGCTATAGAACAGGGTAAAAAGAGAACATTTTTAAAAAGTTAAATAAGTGAGATGTAAAATAAAAAAAGAAAATTAGACCAGCAAAGCTTGTGACTTACAGATTTTTGGATTTCCTTTAATAGGAAACTTCACAATCATTTCCTGGGGATTTGTGCAGATGAAAACAAATGGTGAATCAGATTCTTGACTCATGTCTGGATACTGCAAAATATAAAAATAAAAAGTTCAGTCTAGTTGGTACAAATTTTGAATTTCAAGATCAAAGTATGTCTCAGATTCACCTCAACTTGCTGATGACAGCATGCTTCATTTCACACTCAGATAAAGAGGATTATGTTCAACAAACAAGAACAAACCTTCACCCTTCCCTAGACCTTAGCACAGTATTCTTATATAGTCTATTGCCTACCATTTCTGACTTCCTATAATGGGAACAACTTCTTTAAAAAAAAAGGGATGTCTGATATCTTTCCAGAAGAATTAAGAACTGCCGGGTCCTTTAACATAAGCAACTATGACCTGGGAGGTTCAGAGATCTCCTTCAGGAACACTGAGCACCCCCTAGGTTCATCTCAAGTAAAACACTGGAAGACTTAAGAAAAATAGAACGTTTGTAAAAATTCTGCTAAAAACAGTCAACAGAGCCCTTCTCTCACTAAAGGGAAGGAAGAAGATTCATTCTGAAAACTATGAACATGCAAAAGCTGTTTTGCTGGATGTATTCCAGACTTACTTAGAATGAAAAGGTAACTGATAGAGCAATTCTGAAAATTACTAGAAGTCTCCTTTGGATTTCTTAACACAAAACAAATCTGTGTGAATACTTTGGACTTTTATTCCTTCTGCAAAGACAGACACAACACCTAGAGTGAGACTATGCTGATGATGCAATCACAATTTAAGGAACAACTGGGGATTGGCAGAAAGTGCTCTCCAGCAATGCCCAATTGATTTGGTGTTTCATTATTTCCTATCTTGGGATGTCTCGTGTTTAGCACATTCGACAAATATGAGTTGTAGGCTGAGTGTGACTATGGGTCAGCCTTCATTACCAGAGGAGGCTTTCTCCTAGTAATTACCATCAAAAGTATGAAATTATTTTCCGCTCTTATTCACCTGCTAAGATGTGTCCTCTAAAGATCTAAGGCTCTAAAGTAGAAATGGAGGATTCAGTAAGAAAATTCAAATTTCTCTGTAACAAGTAGAAGCATGAACAATTAAACTTCTTTACTGGCCATTCTGTGCTAGGTGGTAAGTAATGCTGTGGAGAAAACAAAGAATTTTAAGCAGCTTTTTGTCCTGCCTACATACCATGGCTTTCCACGTGGGACAGGTGTGGCATGTACTTTGATAAAAAATAGATTAATATCAAGTATCAACCACAATTATATTCACAGCCAAGGTCAAAATATTCATGGTAGAAAAAAAAGACTAAAGATGGGAGGGAAACCCTCTTCTTTCTTTACCCCCTGGATCTTTAGAACGCAAAGAAAAGTAGCATTTCCCTCCCATCTTTAGTCTCAGCTGTAACTGCTGAGGTGCTTTGGCACAAATAAAACCAGAGGCGGCCATCAAGCTCATTAAATCGAATTCTACAGAGGCCAAAGTGACAATAGTCACAATTAACATCGCTCCACGTTTCCTGCTCTCTTCTCTGTGCTAACAGTGTCAGCAGAGGACAGTGCTGCCAGGACCTCGCAGCTCTGCTCTTCCCACACTGCCAGCCGTTTCAGTCACTCTCTCCTTTCCCATCCTCGTCCATAAATGTTCTCTTTCTACTTGATTAATCTCATTCACAAACATACTTTCTGTAATGTCTGCCATAAAATAAACACTCTCCAGATCCCACATTCTCTTCCAGCTACTGCCCCATGTCTCAGAATCTTTTAATAAAATTCATTAAAAGATTAAGTAGCCCGGCTAGCATGGCTCAGTGGTTGAGCATCACCCCAGGATCCAGGAGATCACAGTTTGATTCCTGGTCGGGACACACGCCTCAGTTGCCGGCTCAATCCTCAGTCAGGGGCGTGCAGGAGGTAGCCGATCAATAACTCTCTCTCATCATTGATTTTTCTATCTCTCTCTTCCCCTTCCTCTCTCTGAAATCAATAAAAACATATTTTTTTAAAAAGGACTGCCTATACTCCCTGCCTCAAATTCTTCTATTTTTTTCCTTGAATTCACTATAAATAGGCTTTCAACTCCCATCACTCCACCAAATCTATTCTTATAAAGGTCACTGTTCATTTCCAATTTGCTAAATCAAATGGTCAGTTCTCAGTTCTCATTTTAATTGATCTGTAGAACCTGACAAAATTCTTCTCTCCCTCTTCCTTGAACACATTCCTCACTTGGCTTCCAGGATACCATTCTCTTCCTGGTTTTGCCGCTCTACTGACTGCTCCTCATCTCCCCATCCTTGAAATGTTGGTGTGCTTCAGGGGTCAGGTCTCAGACTTCTCTCCTGGACTTGTAACTATGAGTGACGGATGTTAACTAAACTTATTGTGGTAATACTTTTTCAATTTATACATATATCAAATCATTATGTTGTACACCTTAAACTAATACAGTCTTAGATGTCAATTATATCTCAATAAAACTGGAAGAAGAAAAAAAGGTCCTGAAAATGCATATCAAAATGAGATATCACTTCACGCTCACTAGGATGGCTATTATAAAACAAAACAAAACAAAACATGGACAATAACAAGTGTTAGAATAAAAACTGGAATCCTCATGCATTGTTAGTGTGAATGTAAAATAGAGCAGCCGCTGTGGAAAAACAGTTTGGTGATTCTTCAAAATGTTGAACACAGAATTACCATACAATTCAGCAATTCCACTTCCAGGGAGATACTCAAAAGAAGTGAAAGGGACTCAAACAGATAGATGTTCACAGCAACGTTATTCACAATAGACACTAGTTTCCACAATCTAAATGTCCATCAGCAGATAATTGAATAAACAAAGTATGGTATATACACAGAATGAACATTATTTAGCCTTAAAAAGACATGAAATTCTGATATATGCTACAAGATGGATGAATCTTGAAATATCATGCTAAGTAAAATAAACCAGACACAAAAGGGCAAATATTGTATGATTCTACTTATATATGGTACTTAGAATAGGCAAATTAATAGAAACAAAAAGCAGAACAGAGGTTACCGGGGGTTGGGGAGGCACAGAGAATGAAGGAATTTTTTTTCCTTCAATAACTTTTTTCTTTTTAATCCTCACCCGAGGATATGTTTTTATTGACTTTGAGAGAGAGAGAGAGAGAGAGAGAGAAACATGGATGTGAGACAGATATATGGATGTGGGAGAGAAACATCGATCAGCTGCCTCCCAAACGCACTCTGACTGGGGATTGAACCGGCAACTCGGGTATGTGCCCTGACCAGGAATCAAACCCACAGCCCTTCTGGTACACAGGGATGATGCTCCAACCAACTGACCTACCCGGAAGAGGCTATTTATTTAAATTTTTTAATTTGGCCTCCCCTTACTAGGATGAAAGCTCCACAAAGGCAAGGAATTTTTTTTTGTTGTTGTTAATCCTCACCCAAGGATATTTTTTCTATTGCTTTTCAGAAAGAGGGAGGGGGGAGGGAGGAAGAGAAAAACATCAACATGAGAGAGACACATCAACTGGTTGCCTCCCACATTTGCCCCTGCCGGGGGTGGGAAATGAATCTGCAACCCAGGTACGTGCCTTTGACTGGGAATCGAATCCAAGACCCTTTGGTGCTTGGGCCAACATTCTAACCACTGAGCCCTGAGCCACACCGGCCAGGGAAAAGGCAGGGAGTTTTGTCAAAATTTACTTCTCAGTAGAAATCATGCCCGGCACATAGTAAGGCAATCAATAAATACTTGTTGAATGAAAGAATAAGGAATTTATCAACTTGTGCATTACAGTTAACTTAATAATGCTGAATATGCACATGCTGGGAACTAGACACTCCTTGGACTGTAACTCTGGGTAAAAGCAGGTGCTACTCTGTAATCTGTTATCCTTCAAGCTAAATTAAGACTTTTGTGTCTTGGCAAGTGTCCAATAAGGCCCTCTATTTAATAAAAACTACCCTGACATATATTAAATAACACAGTAAGCAAATGTCAAATAAAGGGGAAAAGGATGGATAAATGAAATTATAGAACAAGAGGCTCCTTGGACCCATTTATGCCTCACAATAAAGATAAACATTAAATTCAACTTTCCTTTGTGAACCAATGTCACCCCAATAAATTCAATTTTTAAAAAATCAACTTTCCCAAATGAATCTACATCCAAGTTTCATGTGAATATCCCTTTTCCCAAACTCTGTCACTGAACATCAGGAAGCTTATAAGAAACAGAGCTGAAGAACAAAGCAGCCTACAGGCAATAAAGAAAAGTAAGGCCTATGCATTGGGAGAAGAGATTATTTTTCATGGCAAAATACATTAAAGCAAAGTCAACTTGGCAGAGCCTCAGTACCTCCAAAAAAGCACAATCTCTGCAACTGCGGCCTGGGTGCTATGGACCACATTATACACTAACAAGTCAGAGACAAGAAAGGAATTTTTGGTCTGGAAGTCAAAAGACTAAAATGCAGCTGACTCAGAAAGAGTAAATTAAGAGAGGAGGATTTGTATTTGTGAAGAATGTGGTTAAACTCTGATGTCATATCCAATTTAAAGAGAATGCTAGATTAAGGATCACTGACATAGTACAGTAGACATTGTGGGTTATAAGATCAAACAAGCAACCATTCAGATTCAGTAACAGACTCCTCAGGAAGTTGCTACTGTCCTTGCCAAAGACAACATGATTCCTATCACCTGGTTTCCCACCTGAGCACCAGGGGAGTTACAGTGGACTCTCCTTTCATGCCTCACAAGTTTCACAACTGTCTAACATAAATGGTAATTAATTATTAAACAGCTATCTTCCCCTCCCCTCCAGAGGAAAATTGTCCATCAGTCATATAGAAAACATTTCTTTTGCCATTTTCATTAAAGAGAAAAAAAAGTTTAGTAGTTTTTGGGCAACCACTACTGATTCGGAACCAAGTGGACATTTTCACCAGCTCTGTAAGGATGTCTCCATTTAGTCCTGTATTGAAATGATCAGTAACTCCTAAATGATGTCACTCTTCACAAATCCCCAGATGACCTATAAATCTTACACCTGTCTCCAGAGAACTAAG